CCTTCCTTCAAGTCAATCTCCACACTGCTTATGTGTGTAATAATAAAAATATATGCACTTGGGGTTCAGGGTTGTGGCTCAGTRGTAGAGCACTTGCCTAGAATGTGTGAGGCACTGGGTTMGATTCCCCAGCACCACATAAAGATAAACAAATAAAATWAAAGTATTGTGYCCATCTACAATTTAAAAAAACTTTAAAAAAATATGCAAAGGTCAAGATATAATTGGGTTCATAATTTTTACTGCTTTATCATAAGTATTTCRAAATGAAACTAGCTTTTTTTTCTACTCTCTACATATATGTGGTGATAAAAAATACAATGACATATTAAGTGTGAGCAATTTTACCCACCATTGCCTTTATACCATTAGTGTATAGCTCAACACAGTAAAATTAATTTTAAAATAAAGGCCAAGTAACACCTCTTATAGAAAGTTTTAATTTCAAAGAATCCCTGCGGGTCTTGGGGACCCCCAGGTCTTTGAAAACTGCTATTTTAAAGAACCCAATGGAAAAGATGTAGTTTCCCAACTTCACTAGATACTTGCTTACAAGCTACCTCCCCTATTGGACCATTAATGGCAAATGAACAACTCAAGTGTCTATAACWGGGTAAGTCTCAGAGATGCAATCTTTATCAAGGGGATGCCATTCAACCTAGGGTGCATTAAAGACTAAAACCAAGAGTAAGCGTTAGGTCAACTTGAGGAGACCCCTTGCCTTTCCTTCTTGAGACACTCAGAACTTTAGTAATGCTTGATTAATATATTCAGTGGTTATTTTTTAAATTATTTATTTGATAGAAACCACATAAGCATTTATAACAAGTGAATGGAGGGACACGGAAGTGCCTCTAAACAGGGGGAAGGGGGCTCAAATTGGTGAGGCAGTCTAGAGGTACTCAGAAATTCACAAACTACTGTGAAGGCGCATGAATTGATACGAATTATTACCTATAATTTAATTAGGTTTTCTGGCTCAGTGAGAAGAGAGGGAAGGATTTATGAAACCTATCCTTTGGGGAAAAACAGGGAGCCTGATCCCAGAGAACTTTACAGTTATGGTCTCTGACATTTAGACCAAGGTCRTTTGTGGGATTAACAACTTTTGTTAGCTACTCAGTTTGTTCTGGCCACCTCCTGYCCTTACCCAATAGTGATTAACTGTGCACCATTACAATAAAGAGGAGAGTCAATAGATACTGCATAAAAATGAATAAAAACAGAGAGAATTCTCTTAAAGTTAGAATAGTAATCAAAGAAGAATCCAAAACAAAAATTCATTAACAGTAGTTCCAGCCGAGCAYGGTGGTGCGTGCCTATGAGCCCAGCTACTTGAGGCAGGACAACTTAGTGAGACACTGTCTCAAAATAAAAGTATGAAAGGGCTTRGATTGTCGCTCAGTGGTTGTTCACTTAGAAGCCATGGGTTTGCTCTCACACTAAATCCTGCAAAAAACACCCAAACAAAACAAAACAAAAACCAGTAGTTCCTTTGGGTAAGAAAAAACTGGGAATGGGACATTGAGAGACCTTCAATTTTTATTTTTTCTGTATTGTTTGAACTGTTTTCAGACAGACATATTGCTTTTATGATATAAAACAATATAAATTACATGTGTCYAAAAAGGAAAAGGAACTAAGAGATCCATTTTATCTCATGGAAAGAAAAAGGATGTTGAGAAACTGCTTCCATTCTGAGCTCTGTCTTGTGAGGGAGAAAACTATTCCCCAAGGACAAGAAAGGGTGAAGGCAGTATTCCAGAGCAGCTGCACCAAGAAGCCTGGCCAGAGGAGGGAAGACTCAAGACAGACCCAGCCTTGGAGGTCACCACAGCGCTGGTTGACAGAGCCTGTCAGCAGCTGGCCAGAGCTCAGGCTGGCTGCAAGTAGGCACCTGACTTCCTCATCCTACAGGGGGTGAAATTCCCTTAACCTCACAGAACTGGGGCAAAAGAAAATGAGATCCTGCAATTGGCATACTCACACTGCAAGGCAGGATTATTCTTTGGGAATCAGATTTCTCCCATAAAATGTGGTGAACTCCAGAGCATACTGTATTCTTGAATACATGAAACCATACCTACAACTTGGAAAGACCCCTTCAACCACCATATTTAAAACATGAATGATTTTATGACTCATCATCTAAGTCCAAAAACAGATACTCTCCAAAATGGGTCTCTTCTCACCGTTTCTGAAAGGACTTCCCAGCAATATTGTCTCTATAGGAATCAAACAGGACGTGGTATTGATCCCGGCTCCATTCCAGAACCACCTGGAATAAAAAAGAAAAAGGACAATGCTTCCTTTGCATCAAAAACTAAAATCACATAACTTTCATTTAATCACACTAAGAATTGTTAAAGGAAAAGAAACAGCAATTGAAGTTCATTTATCTACTTAGTGCCTAACCCAGTACCAGACATGGTAGCAGATCCAGGTGAGTAAGTCACCACAGTTCCTGCACCTGGACTGCCTAAAAGATTTAGGGTTTCACTGTGCTTGGGATGGGGTAGGGGAATCAAATAGGTTTAAATGGATGGGACATTTGAACTGGGACTTGAACAAATTCCCCAGGTGGTAAGAAAGGGACAGACAATACCAGCCAGCTGAAGAGCAAGTTCAAGGAGGAGAAAGAGCAAGCAAAGGTTGAGGGCAACTGTGGGGTGGCTCTGTCTAGAGCACGGGTAGTCACCTGGAGAGAAATGGGGCTGGGASAGGAAGCTGGGCCCTGACTGTGATGTGCCTGCTGTGCCTTGGGAAGCTGGGGCACCAAAGACATTTAACTCAGTCACAGGATCCATCTGAAGTGTGGGAAAAAGTCTTCTCACTGCATGTTAAAAGACAGGCTGAAAGAGCAGGGACTGAGAAGACCTAGAGATTGACGACCTTTTTTTAACCTATGAGAAACCAGCTGACGGCCTTGTTGGGTACTTCAGGAGATGTAAAGCTACAGATGAAAGCTCYCTCATGCCTGCACCCCAGACCTATAATCTACCTGCACATGTGCCCATTTACCACAGAGAAAGTGCCCCTCCTCCCAAACATCYTCCTTGACCATTTGTTCTGGGCCTCATCAACTCCCATGTTCTCAGGACCCTGCTCCTTTCTTTTCCTCTCAATAGGATTCTGTCTGCTGCCACTTAACCATTTAAGCACCTCTGGAAAACCTTTCCTTCACTCCACATCCCTTCCAGCTACCCCAAGTTCTCTGCTCCTTTCAAAGACATCTCTACTCTTCTATCCCCTCAGCCCACTCCAAAACCACTTCTGCTTTAACCATTCAAGTAGCCTTACCAAAGTCCCCATGTTGTCAAATMTAGTGACAACTGCTGAGTTTCTAGTGTACTCAATTCTTGGTGACTGCCCAATTCCTCCTTTTTTTTTTTTTTTGAAACACTTTCTTGGTTTTCCTTTTATCACTCTGGGGGCTCCTTCCCATGCCAGTTTCTCTCTCTAGTCTTTAAAAATACTGTGTCCTTTCATTCTGTGCCTCTTCCTGGAATGCTCTCCTTTCTGCTAAGGCTTCTTCCAGCTTCTAGACCTCCCTCCCTAGGATGTGACCCTGTTACATGGAGTGGGGCTAYGGAAGAAGTCTCTGGATTTCACTCAAGCCAGCAGAGAGAAAACAGGGAAAGACATGTCCACCTTTGAGGAGCACCTACCACATGTTTTCCTTGGCCAGAACCTAGTCACCTGCCCACAACTGGATACAGAGGAGCCATGTGCCCTGCTACACTTCRCTCACCTCTTTTTAACAAGACCTGACCTCTGCCTGCCTTTCCAACCTGATTGGGTTATAGTCTAACCCAACGAGTGAATTAATCCCTGATAGGCTTCATAAGTAYCATGAATTAATAATTCTCTCATTTGATAAATGTAAAAACATTTRCTGAGTCTAAAGTGCCTCAGTGTAGGGTTTGCAAGGAGGAATAAGCTAAATTTCCTGATTTTAAGGAACTATAGTCAACTGCTTCTCCCAGCTTCATTAATGTATGATTGGAAAAAAAACTATAAATCTATGGTGTATAACATGGTGTTTTGTTATATGTGGTGAAATAATTAAATCAAACTAATTAATCAATCTACCATCTCACATACTTACCTTTTTTTTTTCTTTTAGGAAAAAAAGATCTACTTTCCCAGCATTTTTTAAGTACATATTAGTATTAACTACAGTCACCATGCTGTAAAATAGATCTTCAGAACTTATTCTAACTGAAGCTTTGTGTCCTCTGGCCAACATCTCACTATTTTCCTATAGTCACTTTTTAGTGGAGAAGTTTACTGCTGGCTATAGCYACATTGGAGAAGTGTGAGCCTCCTAGGAAAACCAAGAAAGACTACCTAGAAGAAGCAACAATTGCAGAGTCTTTAAGTATAAAGGAGAGTCTGCCRCAGTTCACTGGGGACGGAGGTATGCCGGAGGGATTTGCTACCAGACTGGATGAAGGAGTGAAGAAGAGAATTAATGGTGAATGCCAGGTTTCCAGAATTTCTAGTCCAAGTCAATAAATGTACAGTGGAGTCATTTAAGCACAGGGGAGGAACAGGCATAGTGAGGATGAGAGCTAACAGGACTTGAGGGCCTCATTTCTGTTACAGCAAACTTGAGGTTACACTTGYAAACCACTGGTCTCTCCAGCAGGACTGCAAATTCCTAGAAGAGAGGGAATGAGTGCTACCTTTGGTATCATGTGTAACAGCAAACCCATAGCTATAAATGCTATCTACTTTGCTTATATGTGAACTATTTTCAATAATACAATTACATCAATTTCTATCAATGTAATAAGTACAAACAGAAGTGATTTCCCATCAGTATCTCTATGTACTTTGCAAAAGGACCACCAGTCTATTATTTTTCCACAAAAATCTAAACTTAATGAAAGTGTTCTTGGCTGGTACATTGYCTGGAAGATAAGTAGAAGGTATCAGAGAGGGCCGCTTCATAAAGGGCCAAGAATGCTATCTGCTTTATGTTACCATATTGTTCTTCCTCCTCGGATAAATTAATCTCACCATCTATAAAGTGCTTTGGAGTATTAGAAAAACAATTCCGTATTCCTCAGGCCAATCTAAATGCTGCCTTCACAGAACTCTGAGTAACCTCTACTGTGGACTTGGTGGTCAGTCACCCACTACCTTATAACATTTCTTGCCCTATTTAGATTTCTCATTGTTGCTTATCTTTTCTCCCATGTTAGCATCTTCTTAGATTAGTTAAGTTATAAGCTRTTTGAGGGTACAAAAGTACTTACAATTCTAGTTGTCATCCAAATGTACTCAAAAAATTCACCATCTATCATCTTCTTAATAAATGTTCCCTGGTTTAATCTGGAGGCATGTAAGAGCAGACTGGATTTGGGAGTTGTTATGGTTTATATGTAGTGTCCCCAAAAGCTCATATGTGAGACARTGCAAGGTTTGGAGGAAAAATGATTGGGTTATAGCCTTAACCCAACCAGTGAATTAATCCCTGATAGGATTACTTGCCTGATAGACAAGTGGGGTGTGGCTAGAGAAAATGGTTCAATGAGGGCATGGCTATGGGGTATATATTTTGTATCTGGAGAATGAAGTGTCTCTCTCTGCTTCCTAATCACCATGTGAGCTGTTTCCCTCTGCCACACTCTTCCACCATGATGTTCTGCCTCACCTCAAGCCCCGAGGAATGGAGCCAGCCTTCTRGGAACTAAGACCTCTGAAACTGTGAGCTCTCAAATAAAGTTTTCCTCCTCTAAAATTGTTAYGGTTGGGTCTTTTAGTMACAGCAGAGAAAACTCTGACTAAAACAGGAGTACAGACATCTCCAGTTCTCCTACTTGGTAGMTGGATAGCCTCAGGCAGGCCACAAGTGTTCAGGTCTCAATTTTCTTATCTACAAATTGGGTACAGTGTCTGTTTCATTAGATTTCTGAGTGCTACAGGACAGAGATTCTCAGAAAAAATGGAAGAATAAAGGGCATTAGAAATATGTGGGGAAGTCTTAGATAAACAAAACATATCTTCCAGAACCATAATTATAAAGGCAAGTCATTTAAAACATTATACTGATAGGAATGCAAACATAAAACTTGTATGGAGAGCCARGTGTGATGGCACACACCTATAATCCCAGRCTGAAGCAGGATGATCACAAGTTTGAAGCCAACAGGGACAACCTGCCAGACCCTGTCTTGAAATAAAAAACTAAAGAAGGCTGAGGATGTAGCTCTGTGGGTAAGCACTTGCCTAGCATGCACTGGGTTCAATCCCCAGCACCCAAGACCACACAAACTATATGCAATAAAAAAAAAAGAAAAAAGAAATTATGTAATCCCAGTGGCTCTAGAGGCTGAGGCAGGAGGATTGCAAGTTCAAAGCCAGCCTCAGCAACTTAGCAAGGCCTAAGCAAATTAGCAATACCCTGTTTCAAAAAGAAAAAAAAAAAACATAAGTGCTGGGGATGTGGGTTTAATTAATTTCTGGTACAAAATAAAAAAGGAAATTGATGAGACTTTTTTTTCTTTTTTATAGATACAATGTTGGCCCTCAAAAATCTCTCCTACTTGCCACCTAGAGCTCTTCCCCCAGATACCTCCTCTCTAAATTATTTTCCTCAGAGTACTTATTTTTTTCTGCTACTAAGGTGATTCTTGATAAAACTGGAGACTCAATGAACTACTTATGAAAATATGTTCAGAAGTACCACATAAATAAGGTATTATTGATAAAGAATTGCAAATATCATYTAAAGCTAGTTTGTTCTACCCGTTAAAAATATTTCTCACTTTCAAGCTTCCATTGGAATCATCATGGCATTCAGCATCAGTGGTTGGTCAGTTTTACTAAATGGCAGCCAAAGTCARTCTTAATTTCCTGACAACAGAAAAAGGGCACATGCACACCTGCACCCAATCTCTCAAGCCAGGTGCTCCGTGCCACTGAATTCCTACACCAATTGCCTGCTGTGAGGAAGGTGGTAAGCTCGCTTTCAGGTGGTAACCTCGCTTTCAGGTGGTAACACTCCTAAGTGTGTAGCTACCAAATGGCAAGGCTGAACTCTGTGTCGCCCTCTCACGCCCACGCTGCTCCTCTGACACTTATTCACAGAGCTAGCTTTGTCAAATGCACATGTATGAATGCAGCCATTCAACCAAATCCGCAGCTGAAGTGTTTATCTGACACACCAGTTACTCAGTGACCCAGAACTGCCGCTCTAGCATGTTTATAAATGTCACATGAATTTATGTTTTCCCTCAGCACACACACTTGCTGAAACTCCCAGATAAA